TTAAGCGAAGTTCTTGTGCATTCGTGATAAAAACTGTAAGCAGAATTTGATTATTTTTACAACAATGGAGAACACAAGCGACAAGTGTTTCAGCTATGCGGTATCATCAAATCACTCAAAGCTATAAAGACGCATCGAAAGGGACATTCTACAGCTGTCACCTATATCAATCAGCGCTCCGATAGCCTCTATAGCTAGAGACGTTTGGGAACTATACTTAAGCCGATATTAGATGCTAACGCCTGATGCTAGAACAATGCTTATAAAGGCCTCTCTAAAAGCACTCATCGGACGCACTGTTTTTCTCTCTAACCGACCACCCCACATTCGGCCTTGTCACAAGTCAGAGAATCAAGCGTATTCTGGTAACAGGCAGAGCCGTAAAATCAATGTGAGGTGGTTAGAGTTTACATCTCGCGTGACCATTCACGCTAAATTCTCAACCTTATCTCCTCGTGCCTTGTTAGGAGGCAATTTAAATTTTGAAAGCCTCTTCATTCCATGATAATGGCCAAATATGCGGTGGTCACCGGTCCAATTCTTTTTGGTGTGTTCGGTATTCGTGTTTTTATTTCCGGGCCCAGGTAATTCCTCCACTGCGACGAACACTCTAGAAAGGTCATAACTAAGGACCTACGGCCCAACCGGCCATGTAAGGACTAACCTCTAACTGCTAACCAACCTAGGCCTTTGTGTGGAGCCTGCCATCGTCCGCCACCATTCAAACAACTTCGGTGGTGCTTCGTTTCACAAAGCACGGCAACGTGGCAGCAGCAGTAGCATTGGACGTCTTAATTTTCGCAAATACAGCTTCGTTACAGTATTAGGAGCTGGACATTCACCTTGCTAGATGCTTAGTTGCTCGCCACTTCTCTTATTCTTCAGTGAGACGCGAATAAATAAGGTACGTCCGCGAGACAGAGATATTTCACCCAAAATGTCTATTTTGCTCTCTGCCTACCTAGCAAAGGTTCACGCTGGCATTAGGCTTACCTCTATCCGCGACTCCGAGTGCATCGTTTAACGTATACGATCATACTCGCGCCGCTTTTCTCAGCCTGTACCAAACTCGAAGCTTCCACGCCGTCCGCGAACGTTTTCGTTATACACCGGGATTCGAATCAATTATGAGGAAACACGCCAGACCCTGAATTGGAGTCCTCCACTGGACGCCTTCCTGCGAGGTGTACACGCGACGGCACCCAGCGCGTACGGATGCTCAGTCTTAGCCATTGTTTACCTTTGTCTAGTCATCACCAGATGGTAGTGTTATCGCTAGCCATCGGTCTGTGCTGAGTGTATAGCGTTATGAGATTACAGTCCTGTCCCAGAGGCGGCCTCTGGTGGCTGGCCGGTTCCGGTGTGTCGATTAAGCGAAAAGCGACCCTATGGGATGCGGGGTGATGGGGAAAGCGGGAGACGAAAGTTAGAACAGCATTTCTTCCACTGTGTTGGTAGTTCAAAGAGGCTCGTAAGACATGATGGAAAAATGTCGCGTCTTCAGTGGCTGGCGTCTGCTTGAAAATGCGACGCCTCTACGTTGCTATCGTTGCGATCATTAAAGAACGCGCAACGTAGCCATAAACCGGTGCTGATCGCAGTTCAGGACCCTCAGAGCCATTATAAAGTTGCATTGCAGATTTGGATTATTACTTTCTTAAACTGAGAGCAAAACGAACCGGGCGTAAGGTGAGAGCAGCTTAAACAGCCACGGAATTTACAATGAAGATTTGTCTACTTCCAGATTATAAGAAGCGTGCTCAGTGGTAACGAGTACTACTGTATAAATACCTATGGCTCGAACGTTGTTCGTTGAGAAGAGGTCATTCGAAAGCTGTCGCCTCTCTCTAAACTGGTAACTCTGAACATAATGAAACTGAAGAGTTGTGAGGAAAAATGTCAAAATAACGAGCGGAGTTCGTGGGAGTCCTGTAACTAACTAAAATTGATGTTGCGAACTTCGTTCAACTAAAACTATATAGAAGCGGGCAAGATAGACTTACATTAAATAATAGGTATTGCATTAATAGAGGGGTTTGCTTGTAATTGAGTGTTGCCCCGCCATTTTCGTTGCTAACAAATATGGCTTCGTCTATTGTATAGCGATGCTGATAGCTCACTGTCGCCAAATCTACTTACCACCATCTTATCGATAGTGACGGTTGCGTGAAAATAGCACATTAACGCTCCCTGCAAATTCTAGTGATAAATATAGTTGATAATCGGGAACAGTAACGGCAACGTAATCAATAAATTTAATTTCTATACCCCAAAAAATAATCGAGACACACGTACACATCCAGACAGATGAAATTTTGTTAATTTCAAACATCACAAATTTCATTTTATACTTTGTCCATTCAAATCAGCAGGTAGAGTTTACGCATTTTGGTACCTTAAGTGCGATAACAGAAATGTAAATTATGTTTCACTTTTCGATATATTTTATACCTATTTTATGTATATAGTTAGGCAAAAAAATTATTTTTCTGTAAGTAGCGTGGAAACACGATATTTCTACCTTCTGGCCAAGTTTATTGTCACATGATAAATGTCCTTAGAGGCTATGCTTGCAATTCAATGTGCTTAAGAGAACTTAAAAGATGATACATTTAGAATAAGTTTAGTAAACAAAATTCTGATGATCAAGGAGATTAATCCGTACGATTATTTAGTCGCAGAGATATAATTTTTCCGTGATACCGGAAGCAGCTTTCGTACAGCATGGCGATCTATCTTTTTAGTGACATTTGGTTGAAGGGGAAATGTCTAGTTCAGTAACAAATTACAGGAACAAGACTCGGGTTTCGTGGAAGTGGGCTTCTTTGAAATACACAGAACCAAGAACCATTTTTTGGGAATTGCATCGCTAGTAGTATACAGAATTATGATATAGCGAATATTTCGGCACTAACTGTATTCCTAAACGTTGATCAACTTTTCATCTGTGATACATCGACATATATTTAAGAAGAAAGAGAATATAGAGCCTTTGGCTCGTGGCTGGATCTGCTAAAAAGCTCTTTTAGTTCAAAAATCAAAGGAGCCGGATCTAGCGTCTAGAATAATATCAATGGAAAACACTACGCAATTGTGTACACTTTGTTACCTGGTTTGTAGTGCAAATATTAGCCCGTCGTGGCTTCGAGCAGTCGGCAGTTCGAGCGAGAAAAATATTATCACGTTGACCTTTTTCTGGCTTTTTTAACTACTGAATAATGGCTAGATAACAATATCACGGCTTTATTATGAAAACGAGAATAGATGGTTAGTTAATTGTGTGCCACAGCACTTTGTGTATTGATATCTACTTGCTTGATATAGTTACGCCTTTGACCCTCAAGAGCAACAATATTCTGTAGCCCAATGTTACTGAAAATGGGTCGATATCATCTAATATTGACAGGTAACGCTCCGAGACATAATAAGATTTAAAAAAAACATAAGGAAATCTCTGAAAACGTTTGGTTATTTTACAAATAATGAAGTTGATACTACTCTATTTAGCCACTGTCAAAAACGCACATCATTCTTACTCTATGTAAAAATGTTTGAAGCGATCATTTCGGTATATATACTAATTCTGCTATAGACAGTAGTTTGTATGTATTAGTAAAAACGTCTCCAGCTCAATCAATATGCTTCAAAGATCGCAGTTTCTCTTGAAATCACCCTGTGGTCCTTCGTTGGCCACAACTGCTTATTTCTGTCATTCATATGGTGAACGCAGCCTCATTCATAGTCTTCAAATTCTTCAAAGGCTAAATACATGGCGTCACTGTACAAAATTGCCACAATAGGGTAGAATCGTGCTGACACCCCCTTCTGTTACGTCGTAGCTCTAATGACGCAATTCATATGCTATCGTCTTCTTATATATTGCTATATTTCGTTCAAAGTTTAACTCGAACTCAGTAATGAATGACGTGTAATGAATCATATGGACATTGCAACGCTATCTGACTGCACACATAGAGTATTAAGACACACCTGCGTTGTACATCCAAAGCTTCCAGCGTTGTTGTCTGGGACCGAAGCGCTCATTAGCCTGTGTAGGTGCGGCGAAAAGGTACTTCAACGTCGTTAATCGTTACTCAGTTGTTCGAGCGCAGGGGTTGGCTACTGCCACCAGCGTTCCAGTCGTGCTTTTCCGTCGATGCGCGGCCTCAGTGAAAATGATGTTGCCAAATACCTCAGTGTACTAGACCTTCTCTTATCCCGTTCTCCCATATTTTAGTCTCGCTTATCTACCCAGCCTATGTAGTATATAACTCATAATGAATCGACTCATCCATTCGTTCCTCACCGACTATTCCTCTCCCTCTCTCTTTGTATCGTTTCGACTTCAGCTGATGGTACTGCACCTGTGGCGCAACTAATTGAGGTAGTTTACTAGCTGGCGCGCAGCCAACGTAGCATGTCTGCTGGGGACTAGGGGTATCGGTCGTCGGCTACGACCAACATCAACATGCTACGGTACTGTGATATAAATTGTAACGATACCTCGAGGCTCAGCTCTGGTACCTCCGGTCCCATACCATGTTCACTGTATACGTAACTCGAGTGAGGCATCGACTCCTTGGCGATGTGGTCCTCGGACCGGCCCAGTCCCACCTCTATGAGATCCGGCAGAGCCCAATCTAGGGGGTCCTAGCTTGTTTTCAGCGCGCCGTCTCTGCTCTTACCAAGCGTCGTTTGCTTTTGCCGGAATAGCAGTACATACTGGTCGACGAACGATACGAGCGCGGTTCACACCAAATAAAGGCACACCTTGAGCTGTACCCTTCCCCTCGAAAATGGCTATATTGCCGCAGCGACACCGCGTCAACACCGCTACCCCCACCAGCACGACGACGACCATTAGCCCTACGAGTGGCAAACTTTAGAAACCCGTCCTTTCCACATTTTCCCTTCCCCTTTGTAGACTGAGGAGCGCTCGTGGCCTGACGGTGGCTGTTGGCCAACTCAGTTGGTCCATAAGAATGACCCGAGGTCTGCAAGCGACTCAGTGATGTTTCGAGCGTGGTTAGATTCGTGTCAAGTGAGACGCGTCGGAAAAACGTGTCATACGGTTCACGTAGAGCTTAACGAATGCAACATGCGCTAGGACAATAACGGTTGGTATTAAATGAAGCCAGCCTTTTCGGAAGTTAAGATTACACCGTGTAATCATAGCACTTGTACACGTGAGGGAAACTACCGACTGCGTCGTAGGTCTGGCGTTGGTGATTCGACCGGCTGAAGGGCGTAAATAGAAACGAGTTATAAACAGCATTCGTTTATTGCGGTATCTCGTACATGTGAATGGTGCACAGGATTTAACTATTCTATGTAATACCAATGCTGTGATTGGAACGAAGATATGATGAATGCGACTGCGTGTTTGGACGTATCGAGCAGGGTAGACGCTGCCGGTGAAGAAAGAAGACAGACCGCCGACGGTCGAACGCATTCGCTTAGCCATTGAGTGACCCCGATCATCACCACCATCACAGCCGTCATCGTCATCATCATCATCGTTGCCGCAGCGGGACGGTAAAGCGGGCAGTGGCAGCAACGTAGCACCCACGTGCTGCACAAGCTATGCCACTTGGTTCGTTCGGCATGAATGCCGACCGACCTTTGGCGTCAGCGAAAAAGGCCACTCGAGGTAAATATCTTCATAGGAATATTCACAGGTAATGAGACGGGACACGCGTAACGCGAAGTGTTGACTGATGCATTCATTGTATAAGCAACTATGTCACGTGCGCGTAGTGGAGATGGCAGGACACGCTAGTTAGAACAAAAGTAGAGCTGATCATAAGGAGGGAATGCCTTTACATGACGATGATGATGGCGATGATGATGCTTGATAAAAGTGATATATTGACTACGAAAGTCCTATATTGTAGTCATACAGGGTATATGAGAATCTCCCCTACGAGCATATATGCAACAGCTGCTTTAAAATATCTATGCATAGATATAGTAGAGTGACTGTCATCAATAGGAAGAAGTAGAAAGCGGAACTGAAATCTTAGCATGTTAACATCTCAATCCGTAACCGGTTTATATTGGGGTGTCGCTGATGGTCGAGCTTCTCTCCTCTGCCATGACATTGGTCTTCAGTGTTCGTCGAAGATAGATCAATCGAACAGCTTACATAATAATAAATTGATACACGTTCGAGAAGATCAACAACGTATTAAACGTTTGTGTACAGAGAAAGTTGTTTAGGTCGACCGGCTATCCTCTCTGATGGAATCTAAAGGAGAGTTCTCATTTATATTATTATGTTATTAGGCATTGGTGGGGTGAAGCAAACCACAGCCGCGCCACACGATACATGTCAGTGTTAGCTATCAGGAACAATAGTTTGTCAATATTATTTCAACAAGCCTTTGTATTTGACGCCAGTATACCGCACACTTTCCCACGATATAACATTACTTAGCAGCTAACTAAAATACCTTAACTATATATTCTAAGAATATGTATCGACAGTACGATCTATATGCTTGACATGATATTCTCTATTACTGTGCCTTATGAATATTGTTTGCGAACATCATTGCCTGACCTTCATTAGCTAAAAGCTATGACAGCTGAGCGATTCGGAAAACGTAAGAAACACTAGGTTTTTTTTTTGTTAAATTGCGAAATTTACGAAAACAAGTCAGCCCATTGGCGTATGAGTATCGGTGGAGTATAAACGGAAACGAAGCGAAGTTTGGCCCTTCCTACAGCTTGCCCGTCCTCTAACCTTTCCCCTCAACCAGACCCATTTCGCTTCTCTTATTCAAACCCATACAGCCAAGTGGGTCATATCGTAATGTTTGCACAGCTGCTCATCGTATCCCACATGGCGTTCACATATATTTGGGTATTAGCCGGACTATTCTGCTCTGTGCTAAAACGTTCTATACAGCACTGTTTTCGCTCGCTGCAATAGCAAATGCAATCAAATATTGCGTCATCCTTATCCGCTACTTTGCATTTCTTACGCTGTAATGGTAACAGAGGGATAGAGGTAACGGGAGCTTAGGACAAAGGTCATCCCACAAACATGGTTTCACGTGAGCATCAGCCTTATAAGATCTATACGTGCTTTAGGTATCGATACGTATTCCTCCGCTAGAGTTGGCCGCGAAACGGGAGGCTTCGATTCGCGAAATCTCAGGGCGCGGGTATTGGATTAGATAGCAGGCGTACGAAAAACCCTACTTTGATCAACGATGGCTGTTGAAGGAAAGGTGGAGTTTTTGAACGACACACTAGCAGTAACTCTCCATTAAGCGAACGGAATGGCTTTTTCGCTTCCTGTGCACGTTCAAATGCTGCTTGTTTAAATGGTGATATGGCACGACGTAATTTACATCTCAGATGCGTCAATCGATCCACGCTTCAGGGCACCAGGCAGCTCTCTTTCGATTCGTTTCGATAATTAGCCCTAGCTGTCAATGAAGCGTACTTCGAGTGCTATCCTCGAACTATATTTCTGAATAAAACTTAAAAGCAGAACTTAAAAACACATATAGAAAATGACTCCAGAACGAGACGTCAAGAGCTTTCAACTCTGGCGCCGCTTAAAAACTCTTTAGGTTACGTTTACCCCAGATCAACATAACCTAAAGAGTTGTTTCATGTTTTCTCGCACGGCTTCATCACTTCGCATAGCTTAAGTGCCGCTAACTAAGGAACTAGTGGAGGAAGATATTAGGACTTACAATTGGGAATTTTTCCTTAATCATCCAATACTATATGGCCTTGGTAGACCGTTTCGACAAATTAAGGCACTCGAGTTACTTATTGTTGAAAACTTAATATCTTCGCTGTTTATAAATGTTTATATCAAAATGGCGAATGTTTAGACATTATCATTGTTATCGGCATTGCCAATTTCTGTTTACGATTTTCATTGTCAAATCCTGTTCTAATGGCAAGTACTTGTGATTTAGCCGCATCCGTCCGGTGCCGTAACCAGCTGCTGTCTTAGGGGGGTGAAAAATCAACTAAAAATCACAAGAGACTGAGTAGTGTGGGTCGTTTTTATCGCAATGTATCAAGCGAGACCTCCATTGTGCGTTTCGTTGAAGAATACTCTTCTCATCGTCCGCAGTAAAACAGTGCTTTACATGATCTGTACATCGAAGTAAAATTCCCCATACTTTAGTCTTTATATGAATCTGACAGTTTTTGAGCGATAATGCTATTTGCATACATTTTGCAAGCAGTATAACCGTAGTAATGGAACCCAATGTCGTATATATTATGAAAGGCATATGTAATAAATAAAATTATTCGAATTTTGGGGGCTTAGCTTAATTTTTAACATATAATGATAATAAGTAATATCTAAAAGCCGAATTTGTCCTTACGTATGTTGTTAGCATTCTTGAGTGAATACTAAATAAATAAATAACTATTTTTTATTTGTAAAAATGTCTTGTGCTGTTGTTCGGACTTGAAGCAGGCAACCCTGGCCCTGTTCACTAAGATTCTCTATGTTTCAACTTCTACGTCCGTCAACGCCGTTTGAAATTGCTTATTAAGCCTAGAATAGACCTCCATCATTGAACATCAGATTGACAACCAGATTGTATCAACCGGCAACTACGTGAAATTTGTTACTACCTAAGATTGCGACTGAGGACGTTGCTCGCACATAAATAAATAAAATTTTCCGTTTATCCATTAGCATCCTGCTGCCGCCGCTGCTGCTGCTGCTGTGGAAATCTCAACAAAGGAGAGATTATATCTAATTAGACCGCGCCTACTGCCAGTCAATATTTCGAGACAAAAATAATGCCCTCTACATGCTCGACAGCGACTGAATTTCCGGGAAAGGTTGTGCAGTTCGATGCCCCTGTTGGCAAATGCCAGTGAAATTGGAAAAGCCAGGGACGCAAAGCCTAAATTTGACAATAATCTAAGTGCACCCGGCATGGCCGTACGGGTACCGTTCCATTTATCTATTCAGCCAAAAAGTCGTCGTGCGCACGTGATTTAACGAAAATCAGTTAATTTGTTGGCGTTTTAGAAGTTGATTGTATACCTAATGCTTCACTTAGCTCACTTTTAGAGAAGCTTGAGTTCTATGAACCCACATGAACCTACCTTCTGGGCTCGTTAGATATTAAAGCGGCTATCCTTACAAGAATGGATGGGTGCGATTTTTTACTTTTTGCCTTAGATCACATTTTAAGGCGTATTGACAACCTATCCTCTCAATCGTTTTGTTTACGCCTGTACCTCATAGACAACCAGATCTTGCGCAAAAACCTTTAAAGCATGTTTCTTATTTGCAATGGTAACGCTTGAACGTCAATATTGAATGAAGGGGGGAACAAGACCTTTTCGTAGCAACACCGCGCACAACGCACTGCTTTTTGAAAGAGTCTGTGTTGCGCGGGTGTGACCCGGACTGTGGCTTGCCGTCTTACTGAATAAGCAGCACGTCCAAGGACGTTTCAAAGATATAATTATTCTCACTCTCTGCATTGCCAGTACCCTTGTCCGAAAAACAAATGAGCGAGGAATATTTAAAGGACAACATCTGAGTAGAAGTCCACTACATAGGCCTCCTTATGGAGATGGCAAATAAAAGCTACGGCATACTTTCGCTTAAAGCAAACCCATTTAGCTGGACAAATCTAGCTGTGCTCATTCAAAGGCCATTCCAGGATGAGCCAAGAAGTAACTACCTGTTAAAGATGATTCGGCGATGATAAGAGCAATATAAATTAATGCTACGAAATTGAAAGGAATGAATAATATAGAGTCATATGGGAGTGAACCGTAGGAAGAATAAACCGTTTAGCGTTTGCCTCAATTGAATCAAATGTCGCGTCATGTTAATTTACTCTGTCCAAGTTATAATGATGGTGAGGGATGTGACGATCACCACGTCTGCTGTGCAAACGGCACATGTGATGGCATGGTGGGTAATGCGTTTGACTGCTAAATGCAAGAGGCACGTGGTGGTACGGGTTCGGACCCGGGCGTGAACCCACGCTTCGTTTCGTGCCGGAAGCCAGCCGTTCGGTAAAATGCCTAACGTAAATGTCGAAAGACTCACTGCATCTCTGTAGCAAGCAGCCGGAGCAGTACCGAAGCCGAACGATGGCTTCGGTATTGCTGTCCTTCGGCTTATCGCTGCAACATGGAATCGGCCTTCTGAAATGGCTGAAAGTTAGGGAGAACGACAAACTCAAAAGGAAAGGGGAAAAAAACAAAGGGTAACGCATGTTACTGCGACATAGTAAGAGGTACACGGTGTTACGGCGAGAGGTGTGATTTCTCTTTGAAAAAAAACTTTTTGACTTCTTTGCAGCGTTTGGATCTCGAAGATTTGGGACTGCTCCGTTGGGACGCCTCCGTCGTCACAGACGCAGTCACGCCGACCAGCAACGGCGGTAGTGGCGAAGACAGCTGCAATGCTACCGGAAAGCCTCCGAGTGCACTGCTCCGACTGCATTGTTGCTGGAGTATTCGAATGTGTAAAAGGAATTGATTATTGGCAGCGGTCGCGCTGCTGAAGTAGTGCAAGCGACGTTAGCGGGGCTGAGGTGCAGTGGGAAAGGGGGCAAGGTGGGTTTGATGCATAAGGAAGCCTTTTGTCTAACCTGGGCACAGAGCCAGGTAGCTAATAGCAAGAACAATATCAAG